ACCAGAGATAAACTACCGCCGTGAAGCAGTGTTTGGGAACGTTAAACACTTCTACAACACCCAGACATTTACTTTATCCTGTTTCTAAGTCCATTTAACGCTTACGGATGTAAACTCTTCTGATTCTGAACAGTTTCCAAGTGCAGTTCAAGTCTTGTGGACCTGATCAACTGTAATCGGTTTGTTTAATGTTCGATCTCTTCTACACGATTTTAGTTAACGTAGCATATACTCACCAACAAACACCACTAGCACGTGCGAGCTATTATTGCGACAAAGTAAGAAAACAAAGATACAACTGAAGTATACCAGATCAGCAATCAGTGTGATCATAGATACAAGGTATTAACATCAACGTCAGCACGAGTCTGCATCCAGAAACACTTACATGAGCTTTAATCACTTTTAAAGTCGAATACACATTACAGATTAGTGAAAGATATCACAAGATAGTACGAATTAAAATGAAAGTTGAATTGCCAGTTCCTGCCTACCCACTACCTACCGCCTACAAACCTACCAACCTACCTACCTACCTACCGCCTACCTATCTACCTACCCGTCTACCTATCTACCCGCCGATCTACTACCTACCAACCTACCTACCCACCCTTCCATCCTCCTTTCTACCTACCTACCTTTCTGTTTATCTACCAACCTACCTACTTACCTACCTACCTACCTACCTACCTACATACATACATACATACATACTCACCTATCTACCCAATACCTACCTACCTACCTACCTACCTACCCGCCTACCCTCCTACCTACCTACCCACCCACCCACCCACCCTCCTTTCTTCCTACCTACCTACCTACCTATCTATCTATTAATCGACCAACCTACCTACCTACCTAACTACTCACCTACTTACCTACCTACCTACCCACTACCTACCTACATACATACCTCTCTACCTATCTACCTACTCGCCTACCTACCTACCTACCTACCCACTACCTACCTACATACATACCTCTCTACCTACCTACATACATACCTACCTACATTACCTACCTACCTCATAATGTTTTCGCTTGTTTAAATGTTATTGATGTGTTCGAGAGAAGAGACACTGTTTATAACATATCTCAGGTCGCCAGAACACTGACGGTCGTCGATGAGACAATGCTCAGTAACAAGAAGAGTCAAAGAGACAGAAAACCTGTAACTAACTAGATTCAACTCGGACGTGATTTGTCTTCACGTCTTGTGACATTTTTGATGTTCTGATGTATACATGTTGATTATATGTATGTTTCAGTCTGACCATAGTTATTATAACAAGGAATCTGTCTATCTAAATCAATTTCTGTTATAAACTGTGATTATGTCAACTCTTTAAAAACTAATTCTATTAGTAATTCGGCATAGTCTTCGGAATATATTTCATCGAAGCCGACAGTTCGTTCGTTAAAATCTATTTCATTTGAATGAATTGTGTACATCACATTATCGATAAACTATCATCTCAAACATTTTAAAATAAATTATTTTGGTTACGCACCACTTGACCTCTACAAGCCATCAGAAATGCAGCGTCAAGATTGTGAAATTGGAAACGACAAGTTTGCGATGCAACAGCTATTGACAATCTCATTTTGCCTTATACTATCTGTAAACGTTAGCTCCGATTTTGTAAAATAATTCGTTACAATCCATTATTTTCTAGTGCGTTTTATAAAACATATTAACTGGCACACACAATTAAAACGGGGCATATCTTGTAACGGCAGGAAAATAATGAAAATGTGGGAATACGCAGATTGTGTAAGTACTTCACGGGGTAAAGAAGCCTGATGTTATCTGACGTAACCTCGCTTTACTAGCGAGTGCCATGTTTAAATCGTGTGATTAAGGGTGGTGATGAAGACTGCATTTGTACAATACTCAGAGTTATCTATTGAGTAAAATGTTAATCTCTGATCCGATTCTGAGCAGAATTTTCCTTGATATGCACGATTGTTTGGTTGTCCCGTCAGCTCTTGTTTACCTCATTGAAGTACTTTCGGGAGGCCCACCGTACGTAATCTAGAGTAATTGATGAGTAAATAGCACGTGCCCTGCCAATGGATTGTACTACCTCACCTTCCGGATATACACAAATCGCCACGGGTGGGGAATGTCGGACCACATACATCGAATATTCACCTACGGTGTGGGAAATATAGGAAAACATCAAAGGAATGAAAGACCAATAAAGGATAGATAAGAAGTAATAGGAATTATAGAAAGGCAAAATACCTGAACGAGATGTAACAATATGAGTCATTGTAAACAGTATAATTCTTAAGAAGTCGTCAAAATAATGGACAGTTCATATACGTAATGTAAACAGACTGAGAAAAAGATTTTAATGTCATCCACCAAAAAAGATACACATCTAAGTTCTCTGTATCTAGGGCATCGTTAACAAGTATAAGGAACTGAAGTATTTTCAACGGAGTTAGTCGTGTGTCGGAGAAAACGACAAATTGACGGAAAGGGAGTGTTACTCGATAGAAAGAAGCAAAGAAAGATAACTCTAGCAACAGTCTGAATCGTATGTATTCCTATAAAAGCAAAGAGTTGTTTTTTGTTGTTTTTTTTTTAAAATAATAATCGATGATTCCAAATCATTATTAAGTTTTATTATAGCACTTACAGAAAAAATAGCGTTCAGTAAGACATACAATTATATATAATAAGCACCTTTCAAAACCATACACCCATGTCTTAACACTAACAGAAGCTGCATTCATGTGTTCCATTGTTATTTATATCAACCATGAATAAGTACAATATCTAAATTGATGATACATTGACAGCTCCAGTCTAGTTCACCTCTCCTATAGTGTTTCAATCCCTAACTTGGAACGTCCTTAATGTGGCTAGTCAATTGCAACAGTGATTGACCAAACCACCGCCAGTCTGTGGATGGCTTCCAACGTCTGTCTTCTAGTGTCCACCATAGCCAAATGCTGGGCTGGGACAGCCGTTCTACAGCTGTTCTGTTGTCTCTTTCATTGTTTCAAGTTGTGAGCCTCATATTTAAGGGTTTCACTTTTTAAAAATAAAATCCCCTTTAGTATCTATGCACTTTTGCCAGCGATGTTTAAGGGCCTTTTCTTGACCGTTCAGAAAGTTCTGCACCCGGATATGGCCTTTTTCAAATTTTGAAACGGATGAAAGTCTGGTGGAGTGAAGTCAGGTGATTAAGGCGGATGCTCAATCAGTTCAAACCCACAATTGATAAAAGTAGCCATGACAATGACAGACCTGTGAACAGGGGCATTGTCCCGGTGGAACAACACATATTTACTAAATTTCCCGCGGCGCTTGAGTTTAACATTTTCTCTTAACTACCGAAGAAAGTGACACATGATATGTGCCATTGATTGTTGGTCCCTTTTTCAGATAGCCTACCATCAGAATACTATCAGCATCCCAGAAAACCGCGGCAAAAATCTTCCCAGCTGATAGAAAAGTCTTTGTCTTCTTTGGCAAGGGCGCATCCATTGTTTAGACTATTGTTTGGCCTCTGGAATGAAATGATGGACCCATTTCGTTCATAGTCACAAACCTCTGCAAAGAGTTAGTAGGATCTGTCCTCTAAAAGGTTCAGATTAGCACGCGACAAAGTGTGCTTCTGATTAACTGTCAGAATTCCTGGAACCCAACGGGCTGAGATGAGAGCTTTTTCATCACAAGATCTTCCCTAAGAATGGAATGTACTCTTTCCTGTGATATCTCAACTGTACGCGCTATATATCTCTATGTAACTCGCCTGTCAGCAATAACAATACCATGGACTTAAATGACCATTTCTGGTGTTACAACAGTGAAAGGCCTTCCAGGACGGGCGTCATCCCCAAGGCTCTGACTGCTGCATTTAAATTCCACCACCCATCCCTTCATTATAACATACGAAGGAGCATCATTCCTTAGTGTTACTACCAGTATGGATATGGTGCTAGACATGTCTTATGCAAATATGGAGTCACTGCTCGTTGAGCGATTTTGTCCATTTTGCAAAAGTAATTTGCCTTGTTTAATTTAGAGAGCTATTTCTGATATAAAATGACCAAATGACGACACCATTCTTTGGGTACGCAGCCTTAAATAATCAGGGAATTTAAGACCTGTTTAACTTCTTCAATACAAGGCTTACAACTTACCAATCAGCCCTCGGAAGTCTTCTGGCAGTCTTCAATATCTCACACCACACAAACCATTCTTTCAAATTAATTATTCCATTGGGCTGGACCACAAACTATTTCGATCTTTTTTGAGTAGCAAATAAAACTAATTCTTCTTTGCATGAGATGCAACAGTGAGTACAGTGTATGGCAAAGGAACTTATTCACTGAGCAATGACAGTCCATATTCTATTTCAATTATGTAATATATTTATATAGTATATCAGATACCTAACTCGGATGTATAAGATATCATATATATTTCATATATGTGATATACAGGTAAGATATCTCATACATATGTATGTTACATAAGACAAATGTATCTCTATTAACTTTTTATATCAGATATCTTCTATAATATATCAGACACCTCATTTACTATGTAAAATAATTTTACATACAATGTAATGCAATACATTGTCTTATATATTTTTTACAGACAAGAGCCTTTGTCAAACTGTCAGATTTCTGAAGACCTGTCAAAAGTTAGTTGAATGTGTCTTTGGACAAATCATGGTGATCTTTTATTGTTATATATGGCATTTTTGTCTCTCAATACCTTTCTTGACATTATGTAGCAGCGTTTTCCTTTCACCATTAAGTGCATATTCCAAAGAGCTCCTACAGATTCTCCATTTGGCTTCAGTTGTTCTTTTCCATGCCTCATCTCTCTTCTATATGAGATGTCTCATGTAAAATACAAGATATTTTACACATTTTTTTCAGGTCTCAAAATATTTCGCTTGCAAATCTGTAGTGCTGCACACACTTTTCATAATATTTGACTGAATAGAAAAGAACTAAAAACTAAATTTTCAAAAAAAATTTGAATTTATTGTTTTTATTACAAATGATATTAAAATATGTGTACATGATTACAAATCTAACCAGAATCATTCACGCTTCATTCTGTACTGATAACATGCCAATGATAAATACTCTACATTGAAATAGGACTGATGATATCTTATTTTATCCCAAGGTTTACAGCTTTTCATAAATAACAGGTCCCAAAAAACCAAACACCAACATTAGTAACAGAATGCTCTAGTTTCTAAACCATGAAATTCAATTACTGAAGCTGTGAGAGGAAATAGGCCAATCAATTTGGTTCAAATATTGTCACAATACCAAGTTGAAATTACTTTTGATCACTCTAATGATGCCAGTCCAATCCACTATTTTTAAAGGAAAATAATTGGTGGCAGCTTTCTGTATATCTGTATACACATTGTCAACACACATATACCCTTTCAAATAACTTAATGATATAAAATCACCAACTCACAGTATTGGACGGAGGTTACTCATTCATGCATAGACAGCAATCCTTACCAATATTACATACAAAATAAACAAAAATAATCAAACAGACAAGAAATCTCAAGATTCACAAAACATTCTTTAAGAATCACCCCGTTTTTTTCTCTCTCCCTCCATTTCTTTCTCTCTCTCTCTTTCTCTCTATCTCCCCTTCTGTCTCCCTCTCTTTCACTTGCTGAGAGTAAACGACAATATCTAAAGCTTACAAGTAGATATTGTTTCCTCACAATTTAAATACACATACCTCAGTTGTACTGTGTCAAATTCATGGATTATATTAATATCATGTCCTACTAACTGGAACAACACAACCTCCATCAAAATTAACTGTAATAGTCTACAAGCTTTAACTGATAAATATCCATTGTTTGTACCTTAGAATAAACTCATCAGATCAACAGATAAAAAAAATACTAGCGCTTCTAAACTACCAAACACTTGATCAGAAGAAAAGCATTGATGGAAAATGTGAAATTATATCACAAGTATGATTTGGAATGAATAAATATTGTATGTCACATCCATGGGGTATTGACTATTAGAAGAACATCATTCTTGGAAAAGTAAAATTTGCAATGTCCAATGCTGATAATATCTTAGGCACAACAATAGCATGTAACTTACTCTTTTAGAACACAGTTAAGTGACTTTGACGTTGTGACTGTTCAATCACCTACAAATACGAGGTGAATATACAAGAATGACACTTTCTCAATCAAGTTTATCTAAGAAAATAGGAAACAGTCTCTTAAACCTAGCTAATACCTTATATTACAGTCACATCCGATTTCAACCAAAGCTAAAATAAAAAGATAATAACACTGTGGTTTTGATGTACATGTACAACCAAAGAAAGATAACTTTGTAGTCAGTGACATTTTTATAACAATGGTTATTTGTAAAATCTCCATCATGTGTGTTAGAAAGTAAATTTATTTTCTTTATAAGTAAGCTTTAATCAACTTGTACTGTATAATATTTGGTTGTTAAAAGTTTTGATTACTACCTGTATTACAGTTCTTCTGACTTTAAGGTGCAATACATATGTCTGTCGACACAATAACAAATTTACATATCACTGACATCTACCAATGTGCTCTACCAAAACACCAGCTAAGATTCCACATGTGTGACCTGTAAGTTCTATTCACAGCTTCATAATGATATAAAATGTCATCACAGAATGTTTCATGTCATCTTTTGTAACCTTAAAGAATTCCTCATTACAACAATATCACACAGCTATCCGCCATGCATTTTTTATCTAAGAAATATGATAAAAGTCCTTGACAATTCAATAGATCCACAAAGTCAATCCAAATCTCATTATCAAAGTTTTGTTTAAAAGGAAGCTGTACTTCGACATAATATAAAACCTATCAAAATTAATGGACATTTCAGGGAACAAAGTAAATTTTTATCTTGTTTTACACTGCAATACAATCTTAAATATTTTTACCACCTTTTCATAGTACTTGTATATAACATTTATGCTGGATCATTTTAGTACACCACAAACTTTAAAGAATTCAGGATTTTGTCAAATTAATGTTACTGACATAGTGTGAGCACTGATTTAATTAATTAAATATCTAAAATTATAGCAAATATCACGAAAACTTGTCCGCCTTCCAGGGTTTCTCTACAATGGTGGTCACAAGCTGGTTCTGGAAGATGAAGACTTTGATGCGATCGAAGACAAACAGGAACAGCAGCAGTACAGACACATACTGTACCCATCCCCACTTCACCATATACCAGAAACCTGGTGTATATCTGATGTCAAGGTCAAGGTCATATAAGTACACTTACAAATACCAAGGCAGACTCAAGTTTAAAATACAAAAAAGGTAAAATCTGTAATCATTATTATAAAATTTTCGTAAGCTTCATGTATATTAACTGATAAAACCAATCTTAATCTGATAATTTTGATAAGATTTCGTAATATGAATAAATGTATGTAAAATGATCAGGAAATATGAAATCAAAATATTGCTATTTTTATCGTGAGAGTTAAATCATCAGACCAAGACCATTTCATCCTAAACATCAATCCTTCTGCTCCTTTATTCACTATATGTACTTACATATTATAAAAGCTTATCGTCAGTGTTAACACCCTGTAAACCGCTAAAAAATAGAAGATCTTAAAGGAGTGTTCATGTTATATAAGACTTAACTGTATTTAAATAGAAAAAGAAAAAAAAAATCATAGGATTCTTTCAGTCATACAACTCACAAAAGTCACTGGAGCTCCTCATTCTGATTTCTTAATGCCAAAAGTAAATTTTCACTGGTTACATTTTCACTTCAGATACAATCATGTCAAGCTATTTATTCAGGATGTCACATAGATTTCTGATATTTATTACCGGAATTATAATACTTCTTTTTGCATGGAAACAATAACAACATCAAAATGGACAATGACAGTACATTTACCGCCTGTTGATAATTTTCCAAAACTACATTGAATTCAAGATACGTTTGGCTTTAACTACATTGTTTTACCTGTAACTGCATTGTTTTACCTGTAACTACATTGTTTTACCTGTAATTACATTGTTTTACCTGTAACTACATTGTTTTACCTGTAATTACATTGTTTTACCTGTAACTACATTGTTTTACCTGTAACTACATTGTTTTACCTGTAACTGCATTGTTTTACCTGCAACTGCATTGTTTTACCTGTAACTGCATTGTTTTACCTGTAACTACATTGTTTTACCTGTAAAGACATTGATTTACCTGTAACTACATTGTTTTACCTGTAACCTAGATGATGTTAAGATTGACAAGGCATTCATTACACTACAGAGGATCTGAAACATTTTGATTGTAAACACTCTGGAAAGTGTTTAGTTAACATTTTCCGATTGTATGTGGGCAATGCCTTTGCTAGCACCGATATAACTTGTCAGTGTGTGATATTTTTCACAATCATTTGATCAAATGGTTATCTAATGCTACTATATTTGCCTGGGACTAGCACCGACTACCAAGTCCTTACCATACAATACAAACAGGACTTTGGGCTTTTTTTGTTTGTTTTTGTTGACATCCTACATCATATTTTAAAGGATACAGGAAGACATCCTCTGTGTAGGAAATGTTGCTGCTGAAGACAAACGGCTGACCAGCACCACGTCCAGATGTCCACACACTGTACGGTGCATTCAGGACGGTAGTCACTGTGAAACACGCAACTTTTCAGTTATTTCACTTACAGTGGACTATAGTCACTTATAACAAGTACATGTATCACAAAATATCCCTTACATACATCTCACCAAATACTGAATCGAAAACACTGTTTATTTGACAAGCTATACCAGGAGAGTAAACAATTTGTGCATTTAAAACATGAATTGTTCAGATAATATTACACGTACCTATTTATAGAAACCTATGACAAAATGAACAAGTTTTTTCATGAAATTTATTTCCTGTACAACTTAAATGGAAATAAATGGTTTGACTTCAGGATGTACTCCTCTGATGTTTTGACCAAGAATTAGACATAATTCAACATAAAACAAATTCTAGCATATAATCTTAAGACTTTTGTCTTTTCATATATTTTGTCAACTATAGTAGTACTAATAGGTTGAAAATGTGAGATTTATATGACCTTTTGAGAAAAAAATTCTTATAAAAGTTTAATACTAGAAGATGGTCGAATAAAACATTTATAGCATTTTGGAACATTTTCAGTTTTTGGTTGCTTTGCAGTTTAAAGCTCATGAAATCAATTGAAAACTAAGCATTTTCACATTTTTTCTTAAATAATGAAAAATTAAAATTTATATTAAAAAAGTTGCCATGAAAATAATAGAGAATGTCTGTTATTCAGGAATAAAATAAGAATAAACATGGAAATGAATTATTTCCTGCTACACATGTTCTGACATCTGTACCAGAAAAAGTAATACAGCATCAGATTTATTTTTTGCTTTAAATCTACTTTTAAAGTCAAAACTTTCAAAAAATCATCATCAGAAAAGAGGAAAATACTGGAATTTTTTAACTTCTCAGAGAACATCCTTAATAAAATCATCTTAAAACTTTTCAACATCTTTTCAATCAGTGGCAAGAATTAAGCTGAAAAAACTGTTTGCAAGATAGTGAGAAAATGTTCTGTGATGTTCGACATGATATATGTGTTCCAAAACAAACCTGAAGCTGTCACTGTTTTCTGTGGATCCTACCCCAGATACAAGCCATCTTGCCATCTGTTTGTCAAAATGTTTAATGTCTGGTGTAGTAGCCAAAGGAACCTAAGGCTAACTCAAATTAAGAACATGAGTGGTAAGTTCTTACCATTTCTTTGTGCATAGTTGCTAAAGATGGTGGAGAACTGATAGGCCTCAGCATACGCACTGGTGGAGTCCACAAGGGAGGACTGTAAATCAAAGCCAGAAATGAATTTGTAATTGTGAATTCCATAATGTTGTATTTATGTTAAACAATATTTACATGACTGTCTAAATACTGACATATTTCATAAATGCTATATCAAATAGCCATTTAATCAGCCAATCTTGTTTTTCTATGTTAGAAATATTATAACAAGAGCATTGTGAATGAAATCTGAATTCTCATCAGGAATTCATATACATGTATGTCTTCAGTTCAACTGTTTTCCTCATAAACATCTCTTATTTTTTAAACCAGGAAATACAAAAAGTCAAACTTACATTGAACCGGGTATCTAGCCCTTTGTGATCAAGTGCTTGCTTCTGTTTGATGCGTAGTTCACCGAAAACTTCATACTTAGCTCCAGATTTTATGGAATCATGTGTAACATATGCTAAGGACTCCATTCCAAATGAAGAAAACCTCTGTAAAGTCAGAATAAATTCAGTCTGATAATTTCATGTTCCAGAAATTAAACTTTACAATAAAAACGGTCTAAAATTTTTTTAGACTGAAATCAAAATTGTTCATAAGAGAATATGAGGAATCCCAAGCAATACCAAGGTAAATTGTACCAAACCATAATATTCTCATTATTAACTGCTGAAAGTATAATTCTGATTTTCACAGGATTATCATGAAATTATCAGTAATTGTCCTAGTAATGAAAACAAAATTCATATCGAAAATATATAGAACATCTCAGGAGAAGACCTTTTTGAGTAAGTCTAAGGGAGACTACTCTCACATACCTCCAGTCGGTAATCAAAGAATAGTAGAAGTTTGATGCCTGACACACGTTCTTGGTCCAATAGTGGCATTTCTATTTTCATGATAAGGCCGTCATTCTTCCCATCTCCATTGGCATCATCTTCTCTGGACTGCTCATCAAATATATATAAAATTTTATCATTACAAATTATCAAAACAAGGAAATGCTTTTTATTGTAACGGAGCTCCCCATTACTCATTATCTTTGAATTGAGGAGGTACCTTTTAAGTTCTAGTGGGAACTGGGCCATAGGTCAATGTATGAAGGGCTAAAGACCCAACCTGGCAAAAAAGTACCAGTGGGCAGTGGGGTGCCTCCTATATATATTTTTTTATTTGAAAAGTAAATACTTCTCATGGCCAAACTATTATTAACATAATGTATTAGAGTTTCTGAACATTACCTGTATGACAGGGACCCTTAGATTCTGTTGCTGTAATTCATTGTATCTCTGATAGGTAGAATAAGTCAGGTAGCTTAAACCGGCATTTGATGTATCATCTAATTCTAAAACCAAGATCAGTTCCTTCTTGAATAAAACACGGGGCGTTTCTCTGTAGTAATCTTCTTTGATCCAGAAACCTAAGAAAGGAGAAATCATAAGATAAGATGCATTTCATTAATACATTTTTATTCATCAGTTATATGATAGTAAATGGAATACAACTGTAACAAAGTGACATTAGAAAAGATGCATGCAACTGCAGCAACTGTGGGACAGCTTACAGTACAGGTATGCTCAATGCACCAAACTTCTATTTTTTGGTCACAGCAGACTTATAAACCAATACGCACGATATTGTGTTCAAAATAAAGATGCATTCCAATCAGTATGGCAGTCTTATTCATATTGACACAAACGAAATTTTACATTTGAATATAATATCAAATGTATTAAAAATTTCTTTACTTAAAAAAACACTCTTTCATTATAAGTCGATGAGCTTTTGCTATATTGTAGCTATGTATCAGACCCCAAAGACGTCAGAGCAGACCTCTATACAGTAAACATGTGCGAGATATTTCGTCTACACCTAAAAGTTTGACATGATGATCAATGAAATTAGCACAAATAAAAATTTCATTATTCCTCCCAGTATATTATAATGTCAACATATATCATGATGCCACAAGATAAAAAAAATGTGCTGACAAAATGTCGTATAATTGTGAAACCGATGTCACTGTAGCGCCAAATTCTCATTTCTTCGAGTACTGTACTGACCAAGTAAACAAAACTTGCCGGGTGTTTTATTTTTCTTTGTACTGTTTCCTGATCAGAATGTGGAACATAAGCCCTGCTCTTTTCCTGGCATTGCGTGCTTAAAACGTATGCCAGACTCATATCCCATACCAATGTATATTCCGTGTAGTGTTTTGTACACAGTATACAGCACGATTTATATCAGACAACATGTCAATATCGTCGAGCAAAACATGCTTTGACACGATGGCGGAGCTCTCAACAAAAGTATGGACACCATTTAAGAGTAAGTTTGACGATCTTACCGTAACTTCTGTACACGACGAACAATGGTGGAATAAATGTTACAAACAAAACTACAAACATCAACAGTGTGGCCTTAGTACACAAATGGGTCTTGTATCGCCTCAGCTCCGGGTGAGCGAATACCTCGTAGACCGCCATTTTCAAACAACGCAGTGCCGGGCAGAATGAAATACTTGTCGTTGATTGGTAAAATTTCAACATGGAAATATAATATAAGAGATATACGGAACAAATCCGGATTTTCAAGACTTGCACTTCCTGAAATATAAAAACGAACGTGTTATGATTAATAATAGTATGACGTACAGGATTGGAGCTTCACGTTTCAATGTCAGGCAATCTATTAAAGAATTAAAGAGAAGAGGTGTTATGTGTATTCTGTGACAAGTACGTAAATACATTGGACATATCGAATGTGTTTATATATATATTATATGATATAAGAAATATTGAGTACAAATTATTTTTAAAACCGTAGCTCATTTTCATCACAATTATGTCCCATCATAAATCTCGTACATATTTTGTGTATCTACTTCATAATTCATAATCACTGAAAGTGAAGCGTTTATCTAATAACATGGCCTATCAACAACGTGTAAACATGTTGAACCGTTAGATCAAGTGAATTTACATCTATTTTTATTTGGAAATTAAAATCTGTCCCTAACCACCAATACAGAAGTATTCAGACACGTGCAAATTTTGATCAAATCCAGCAACAGATTTTAAGTAAAATGTACTAAATGTTAAATATATTATGTATGCCTTGTTAATGTTCATGATCATGTAAATATTTATCATGTATTGTATTAGAGGAAAAGGCGGACATAAGTTGAAATAACTTGTGCCTAATCCGCTGCTCAATTTTGGGGCAATAAATATGTTTAAATAAAAAACGTGTAAACGTAGGTCGTTCCTTTAGATGTATCATTCTACATATGGCTACACACACCTTTATACGAAAGATTACTTAGACATCCGGTTATGTGGGACCAATGTTAAGCTCAAGAAATTGTTACATGTCTGCTGAAAACTATTTTACCAACTGTATGTGCATTGTTATCTGATGTGTTCTCTGTACACTTTTTAGAAGCTGATACGTCAGTTAGATGAGGTTGCATATATCTATATTAAATAAGCATATCAGTCGTTCTTCAGAACCAAAATTTGCGCTTATCAGCTTGTTAAACAAACTCAGAAAAACTGTGAAAAACTTTGTCAGAAGGACACGGGGTATGGATCACGGTTTAAATATATATATATATATAATCGATAGGCTAGCTATCGTCGGTGACAGTAAAGTTCGCTAGTCACGTGACTTCTTCAACTCTTACCAGAATCCAAGTGTTGTGGATTTTTTTTATTGAAGTGGAGCTACTTGTAACAATACAATAGTACGCCGACAGTCTATTAATTTCGTGTTGTTCAACTCACACTTATTTAATATTTGTATGATAAAATGCCCCTTTTAGTCAGAATTAACAAACACATGAGAATTACTGGGAACTGAACTAAATCATTTACAAATATTCGTTCCAAAACTTAAAGAGTTAATTTTAAAGCGCTAACCCTACTGCCACAGTTGTTTTCTGGAATGTCCATTCTTGTCGCCAACATCATAGGGATGGATTAAACGCCACTGTACCTGTTAATTTACCAAGGCGAGGTAGAAACATGACGAACCGAACAGCAATCTCAAAGAGATAAATTCTGAATTCTTTATTCCAAGACTTATCAAGATGTTGCACAAAGTTCCATGACTAAGCCGAGAAATACTAGTTACAGAACGATTGGTCTGTTCTAAAAGACGGTATACACCATAACAATTCCGTCATCCAAACAATTTTTAAGATTCACCTACATGTCTGAGTGGGATAGGGATGTAGCCATGCCTCTTTCAATTATTTACTCCCAAGATCAGAAAAGAGGGGAGTAAACAGAAAGATACCTTGAAAATTGAAATTAAACCGGACATTAAAAGCTGTATCAAGACAGAATGAAATGACATGGACCGTTCCAAAGTCAAAGAAATCGACGACCAAAAAGCAAGAAAATCATATGTTATCGTTTATACACGCACAAGAATCATTTAAAACAAAATGGGAGGATTGAAGAGACGAATAGATATCAGTCATAGCTAGAGATTGAGGAGATACGCACAAAGACAAAACTAGTCCCATGAAACTAGTATTGAACGCTGAAAGACAACAGAATGACACTTGACAACTGTAGACTTACCAGGGATAAAGCACCACGATACACACAGAAATGATTAAAGTGAAAGATCTCAGTCCCTAGAACAATCTCTAATACAGCTCTATAAAATATGACTGCTTTTAGCACAGCGGAAAACTAGCAATCAACTTGTCTTTATTCGGAGTTCAACAGCTCTACTTTGATAAACGATGTCATGGATGCATGTGCCAGCCGCCGTATAGGTGATGGAGATGGCTTGTTACTGAAATAGATAATGGTTTGGCCAATGTGTCTGTCATTGGGAAAATACCAGTCTACCATATATTAATGAGACATTTAAAATTTTGATAGAATGTGCCAATATACGGTGAAAATCAAGACACATGTCAGAAATATATCAGTAACCTGCATGTTTTACAATAATGCTGACAATTTACAAAAATGCAAAAATAAGTAATCTGGAACATCTGGCAAATTCACACAATAGGAAATTTTCGCATTGTTGCCAAAAAGGAGAAAAAGTCAACATAATCATAAACCCGAATTCAATATAGCCAGGGCAAATATTAACAACAGAAAGATTTACACGGAGACTACTGGAAAAGTATAAGGTGGCCAGATGTTCAGGAAGAACAAGCGCCGTCTGCTTCATCGACAACACCCGCCATTAAAACTTGGTAAATTCAAGTAAGTAGTGTCACGCCCTCAAATGAGAACAAGGTATACAACAACGGGACCAACAGGCAAAATAATGATCATCACACACCCCAGCTTTCTATCGCATGAATAAGTAGAATATTTCTCAATGAGATCAATACGGCGACAATAATACGTCCCCATAATTTTCATCGACCTGCATCTTTTTAAAACCGTATCACGAGTCTGTCCGTCCGTTGGCGACTTCTCACACGGAAATCCTGATAATGTGAGCAGTCCCTTGAATATAGAATTAGCTGCGACATGTAAACGCCATAGATTGGGGATGCGGGAGTGTTGCTATCCAGAAATTGGTTTCGTTGTATGAAAAGATCGAGAGAAGCAACTGATGTAGCAGAGTCTGCCGTGTCTTTGATTTCCAATTCTGGTGGGTGTATACGATGGATATGGTATAGAAATTTATTTTTATTCAAAGACAAGATGTCATCAATATATCTGTACAATTAAACGCCATTTACATACTGGGATCAAAACGTCAAGCCATTTACATAAAGGGATCAAAACGTCAAGCCATTTACATAAAGGGATCAAAACGTCAAGCCATTTACATACAGGGATCAAAACGTCGAGCCATTTACATACAGGGATCAAAACGTCGAGCCATTTACATACTGGGATCAAAACGTCGAGCCATTTACATACTGGGATCAAAACGTCGAGCCATTTACATACAGTGATCAAAACGTCGAGCCATTTACATACAGGGATCAAAACGTCGGGCCATTTACATACAGGGATCAAAACGTCGAGCCATTTACATACAGGGATCAAAACGTCGAGCCATTTACATACAGGGATCAAAACGTCGAGCCATTTACATACAGGGATCAAAACGTCGAGCCATTTACATACAGGGATCAAAACGTCGAGCCATTTACATACAGGGATCAAAACGTCGAGCCATTTCCATACAGTGATCAAAACGTCAAGCCATTTACATAAAGGGATCAAAACGTCAAGCCATTTACATAAAGGGATCAAAACGTCGAGCCATTTACATACAGGGATCAAAACGTCGAGCCATTTACATACAGGGAACGAAACGTCAAGCCATTTACATACAGGGATCGAAACGTCAAGCCATTTACATACAGGGATCGAAACGTCAAGCCATTTACATACAGGGATCGAAACGTCAAGCCATTTACATACAGGGATCGAAACGTCAAGCCATTTACATACAGGGATCGAAACGTCAAGCCATTTACATACAGGGATCGAAACGTCAAGCCATTTACATACAGGGATCGAAACGTCAAGCCATTTACATACAGGGATCGAAACGTCAAGCCATTTACATACAGGGATCGAAACGTCAAGCCATTTACATACAGGGATCGAAACGTCAAGCCATTTACATACAGGGATCGAAACGTCAAGCCATTTACATACAGGGATCGAAACGTCAAGCCATTTACATACAGGGATCGAAACGTCAAGCCATTTACATACAGGGATCGAAACGTCGAGCCATTTACATACAGGGATCGAAACGTCAAGCCATTTACATACAGGGATCGAAACGTCAAGCCATTTACATACAGGGATCGAAACGTCAAGCCATTTACATACAGGGATCGAAACGTCAAGCCATTTACATACAGGGATCGAAACGTCAAGCCATTTACATACAGGGATAGAAACGTCGAGCCATTTACATACAGGGATCAAAACGTCGAGCCATTTACATACAGGGATCAAAACGTCGAGCCATTTACATACAGGGATCAAAACGTCGAGCCATTTACATACAGGGATCAAAACGTCGAGCCATTTACATACAGGGATCAAAACGTCGAGCCATTTACATACAGGGATCAAAACGTCGAGCCATTTACATACAGGGATCAAAACGTCGAGCCATTTACATACAGGGATCAAAACGTCGAGCCATTTACATACAGGGATCAAAACGTCGAGCCATTTACATACAGGGATCAAAACGTCGAGCCATTTACATACAGGGATCAAAACGTCGAGCCATTTACATACAGGGATCAAAACGTCGAGCCATTTACATACAGGGATCAAAACGTCGAGCCATTTACATACAGGGATCAAAACGTCGAGCCATTCACATACAGGGATCACAACGTCGAACCATTTACATACAGGGATCAAAACGTCGAGCCATTTACATACAGGGATCGAAACGTCGAGCCATTTACATACAGGGATCGAAACGTCGAGCCATTTACATACAGGGATCGAAACGTCGAGCC